TTCATCAATGTACCAAATGATCATCACTCTGCAGCCCTCAAAGTCGATCAGTACTTTAAGGAGGGTCTCAGTTCAAAACGGCAATAAACTTTTATGACATATAATATATATCGGGTATATTTTTTTTGCCTGTATTTTAAAGTTTTATTTATTTGAACGTTCACTGATATTATTGTGTTTATTTTTATTATTTAATTTGTATTTTGTGATATTGTTATAAGGCCTATTTCTTCTTCTTATTATTATTACTACTACTGTACTGTTTCATTATTATTATTTTTAATTAATGTCATTATATAATCATTTTGTCACTATTTTAAATTTTAAATTATTTAAATGTCTACTGCTTTTATATTGTGTTTCGCCCAATATTATTATTATTATTACAGTATTATTATTATTATTTTTTGGTTCATTGCGGTTTTGACCCATTGCTATTCTGGTTAAAAAGTGTCAATCAGAACGAACACTTTCCTTAATTAAACAATTCCATCTTCTTCAAAATACCTAGGCTTACACCTATCGCCTCAAAATACTGTACCACTTCATGAACGCGTTTCTATTCATTTCGTACCACGTTTCTCTGTCTAGCTGACAAGTCAGGCCTTGCTTGAATGGTTATCAGCAGAGGGGTGTAGGGTGTTATATCGAATAGCTGACCAAAACCTTACCAAAAACAATTTCGTCAAGGAAATTTGACCCCTCGTCGGGGGGGGGGGAATATCCCCTCCCCCGTCGGGGACCTCGCGCCCCCCCCCCAAATCGGGCTAATCCTGGCGCCACCCCTGTATTATAATAACGAACATTATTGTCAAGCCCACATTCACTACACCATGATTAATATTGCGTTATATTCATTTTTGTTTATTGTAGTAAATCATGAGACATTTTAAGTGCAGTTGTAGTTAAAACGATTATCAGGTCACTACGCATTCATTGCGTCTGTATTTGTTATATATAGAATCAATTTAAAGATTAAGCCTTTATATCTAACTCTGACATAACCTGTTTTGAGTACTCATCCATCTCATCGATAACTGAGATAAAAAGAATAAGTTACAGTACATCTAACTAACGTCTCAGATCTAACTATTGTGTGGTTGTCTCAGATATAACTATTCAAAGATTAAAAAGGTCAAAGTGGTCAATTGATTCCACTTTTCCCCATTTCAACTGTGCTGACATTTAAAAGCCTTTCATACAACCTTGTTCTTGAAACCGACCATTGGCATAACAATGAGTCATGAGTTTTGGGGGGCGAGAAAATGTTGAGGGGTCCTTGATGTTATCAAATTATGTTCGCTAACGAAGTGGGTGAGAGGTGGGTTATCTCCCTACTCCAAAAAATATGAATGCGGCTGTAGAGAGACTACACTCCTCCATTGTCCAAACATCCGATTCTCTTTCAACCTTTAGATTTTCAAAAATCTCATCAACAAGCACCATCTACCCTCTCTAGCCTAATTCCAATCACTCGTTTGCAGTGGCGTAGCCAGAATATATATGTAAGGGGACCCCCAGTGTGATATTATGTGGGGCGGGGACAAGTGTTCTAATCGAAGCGAGGAACCAAGGGGTCGCGAAAGGCCCCAGGTCAGGGTGGAAAAATTTTACAATATGACTATATAAATGGCTATCTTACGTGACCTCAGCCCATTTTCTCCTTCTTCCCCCACCCCCCTTGGCTACGCCACTACTTGTTTGCAAGTCCTTGTTACAGGTTTCCATTTTATCATCTAGTAAAAAAAAGCCTGACAGATATACAAACCAAGGGGTCAGGATGCCAGAGTACAGTCTCTGGTGACTAATATGGTGGGGTTCAAGGGAAGAACCTCCTAAGGATGGCCCAAATGTGTGCCTTTACCACAATCTTAGGGATTATTAATCACAATGGATTCACAAATTAATGTTTATAAAATAAGTTTTAAATCTTCGCTTTCAAGTTGAAAACTACAACATAACTAAACAAAATCTTAGTAAAATTATTGATGTTTTTATATTTATTTGCAAGATCATCACATACAGTAACTGGATCACTGTGGATCATTTCCATTGGTATAGAATATTGTGGTTAAATCATATCTGAGAAAGTTATTGTCCTGGCCAACATGATTCAAGAAAAATAACCAGTACATTTGGTTTCATTACCAAATGAATGATATTCACAATTTTCCATATTGGGGATATTCAATGAATATACAAACTTGGCCTTGGTAGAGTAACCAAGCATCAATAGTTTTGGGTCACAAAGCTATTGTCCTGGCCAACACGATTCAAGCACAATATCCAGTACATTTGGTTTCATTAACAAATAAATGATATCCACAATTTTCCATATTGGGGTTATTCAATGGATATACCAACTTGGCCTTGGTAGAGTAACCAAGCATTAATAGTTTTGGGTCACAAAGCTATTGTCCTGGCCAACACGATTCAAGCACAATATCCAGTACATTTGGTTTCATTAACAAATAAATGATATCCACAATTTTCAATATTGGGGTTATTCAATGAATATACAAACTTGGCCTTGGTAGAGTAACCAAGTATCAATAGTTTTGGGTCACAAAGCTATTGTCCTGGCCAACACGATTCAAGCACAATATCCAGTACATTTGGTTTCATTAACAAATAGATGATATCCACAATTTTCCATATTGGGGTTATTCAATGAATATACCAACTTGGCCTTGGTAGAGTAACCAAGCATTAATAGTTTTGGGTCACAAAGCTATTGTCCTGGCCAACACGATTCAAGCACAATATCCAGTACATTTGGTTTCATTAACAAATAAATGATATCCACAATTTTCCATATTGGGGTTATTCAATGAATATACAAACTTGGCCTTGGTGGAGTAACCAAGCATCAATAGTTCTGGGTTCAAATACCAACAGGCATATTTTTTCTTCACAATAAACAGTTTTATAACATGTAGTACATACACATTACTTTATTCTAATGACATCTATTAGGGTTTTATAATATAGTAGATTACAATTGTCAATTTTGAATACAAATACAGTAAAGCCCCTCTTAAGAGGACACCTTTGAGACGAAAAAAAATGTCCAATTAATAGGGGTTGACTACAGTGTTAAAAGATATACATCCACTTGTTCGGAGGTTGAAAGTGTGTCCCCTTAGTTGGGGTGTCACAAAGGAGGGGTTCTACTGTACTGAGAAGCAGGATGGGGATATACTGTCACCCCTTATTCCACATAAGGGGAGGACAGAATACTGCACAAACACACAGAATGAAATAACTTCCAAATATTATAAAAATGAAAATAGTACAAATTAATATAAAGCTGAGTAATTTCAGAACCATTTTTATAGAGCTTCACAAATTCTACAATTTTTTTTACCATATTTATAGGGGGTGACCTTTCCCAGCGTATCCTAGAAGGTCGGTTGATATTCAGGGGCCCTCTTAAATAACTTAAATTATGTGATGCTTTTATTAGCGAAGTCTCTTTATGAGGCTTAGGGAGTGGGGTTGTTTTAGTCGTGAGAAAAAGTCCTACTGTCACAGGAATTGAACCCAGGACCCTGGCATTAGAAGGCAAGCACCTTAACCACTAAGCTATTTGACTCCACTCATTAACAATGACTAAATCATTTCAATGAAATACAATTAGGCCTATGTTACTACACATTATTGCATATCACTATGCAAGGGGTACCAACACAATAACATCAAAGTTATATTGAATATTAGGTGCTTCTGTATTAAGCCGTTCTCACACATTGCAAGTTTCCTTACGATAAGATGTGCTACTACACTTATGACAACACTTTTTCGAACATACAATATCCTACGCTTCTATATGACTATCTGTGTTGTGTTGTATACATAACACCCATCATTCCTTGCTCAATATCCAGCGCACAAGGTTATTAGACCCAGCGTGTCATAGCGCAGCTTGTGAGAGACCGGCTCTAGCTGATAAAGTGCAGAATACTAATCACTATACTGTAGAACATGTACAGTATATAGTATATTTAAGCATTGCTGTATACAGATAGTTGTTACTCAAAATAGTACAACTACCTATATTATAGCAAAGCATAGTAAATATACTATAATTATATTACAGATAAATATAAATACATTGTTTAAGTAGCAAACTATTTACAATAATGTAATAGTTAACTGTTTTAATATACATATATAACACATATTTTGATAAAATTGTGTACAATAAGCCGTGAATTAGGTAACTCCTATTCCTTTTACCAAGATCCAATATTTTTTTAAAGAAATATATTTCCAAGCTCAATTTATTTTAGCATGCAGAAAGCAATAACATTAATATTTTATTACAAGTGGGGATTAATTAAAAGTAATTTTGTTGATAGCTATATTATGTAAAAAAGTAACAACCACCAAGAAACTTTGAAATTCAACAGAATTGGCAACCAATACTGTATTCCAGTGTTCACTACAATTTTTTATTCAGTCTAGCACCCTCTATGTCTGGAGTCTAAACCTTTTCATTTGAGAGGTTTTGCAACCTTTCTGAAAATAATAAACACACACATCTTGCCAAGGACCTCAATGTTGGATTTTTTAAAAACATTTGTTGGTATTTTATGCAATGCTAAATAAATTTTAAAAAAAATCAAGCTATATTACAAGTACTATACTGTTATTTACTTGATCTGAACCTTATGTTGGTTAATATGTTTGATAGTAAACTGTATACCCATTTTATTCAACAATAATTGGAAGAATTCTCATAAATACATGCTGTGACAGATATAAATGGGGATCAGCTCAAAAATGCGAAATTGAATGATGTAACCTGCATAATACTTGTGAATATCATATTCATATCATATATATGCATAGAAAGTTCTTTCAACTCTGTGCCAATTCATTTAACCATTCAAATAAAAGTAAGAATAAATTATATAGGAAGCTAAACACATGTTAAGCCTTTGACATGTGTCATGCCTAAACATGGTCATGATGACATCACATCATGTCCATATATAGGCATTTCATGCCTATATATGGGTATTTAACAGTATTTTTGTCAAATAAAATAAGAGTTGTACCAAATGCCGATTACCCGTTTTCCCTTTACACTATATATTTTAAAGGTTTTTCTTTCTGGAACACTATTTACTAAAACACAATATAACTGAGAAACCCAGTAATTTTAATTTACAGCTTTAACAAACATGATTGAGGGAGGTATTGCACACAAGGATGTAACATAGAGGTTATGTGATTAATTCAATCAATCTATTTTATGAATCTAATTTGCATTGTAAACACAATTTTTGTTGCTGGGTCACATTGGTAAAGCTCTGTCACACACTATCAAATAAATGTGATATGCCCATATTTGGGTGTAATATTACATCATCATGCCCATATATGGGCACATCACACAAATTTGTCACATGGAATTTGAAAGTGTGGACAAAACTTAGAGAATATACTAGAAACGATAAAAACATATTGACTTTTTAAACATCAATTGGTTCGGCATTGGATGCAGAATCAATGAGGGGACGTATTCCTGACCATGCAAGTTGTAGTTAAGTCTTGTGATCGTCATACTTATATTTGACTCGTTGCTGATACACAACTTTATATCACAATGCCACTACTGAATTATAGGGTTAAGTTGACCTAGAAAACCAGAAATTTTGGATGACGCAATGCTACATAAATACAGGAGGAAAATGCCAAACTCAATTACAACATATTTCTTGTGGTAATGTTTTTCATTAAGACCAAATGAAAATCTATGTAATCAATGGAAAGTCCAGTGAACACATCTTAATACATACAAAATATACATAAATGTGCTACAGTGATAGGTTACCTCAGTAGGTATTGAGTGTACTATGTGGCAAGACCAATCCATAGACTGAGAAGCAATATTTTACTAAACCCAACCCTTGTACTGTACAGTAAGTTCTGGCTGGATATTTAAGGCTAATCATTATTTTCAGTCTTTAGTACGGACTTCTTGTGTTTTTTTGTAGTATATTTAAGTAACTATTAACAACAGTTTCCTGTCCACTTAAATACATTATCCATCTTCCAAGTCTTTGATCTGAAGATGAGGTTAAGTCACTTCATGGGAGTCCTATCAACATCAGCCGCTATCATGTAACTTTGCACAACACATATGGCATATCAACGTGCAGTCTTGGTGGATCCAAGGTAATCTCCCCCTGCAGAGAAGAAACAGAAAGGGTTGACATTACAAGCGATATACAGGACAGGTGAGGTTAAAGCTTATTAATTCTACCTATAGTAGTTGAAAATGATTCCGTGTACCCTGGAGCGTTTACTATGAGACTTAGCACAAGTACAGCTCACTTTGTATCGTCGCTGTATAAATTGTTTTCTTTACAGCACATCAGGAATATAAAAACTGCTTGGGGCATAAAACTACAATGTATCTGTAGGACTCAAGAGATATAAAGTTTATTGTACATTAATGTACAATAATTACCCATGATGTATAAATTACAATATATTTCATGGTAAATTTGCTGACGAAAGAAAATGAACTCCTTTAAATTCACCTAATTTCATTTCTTATAATATATGAAAAGATTTTAGGTCAGCAAATTTGATATAATAGTAAATATATTAATAGTAATAGTAAGGTTTAATCAAATTGATATTTCAGTTATACTGTTTTTATGTATAGTCACAAGCAGTGGTGTATCGAGGAGGTACAAGGGGGCGGGGATGCTCACCCACCCTAAACAAAATTGTGCTCTCCGGTATGACCTCCCATTGAAAATGTTTGAAGCAAACAAGACCCATTTCAAGACTGACAGATCGCACAGAAACGTGGTAAGAATTGATTTAAATAAAATAAAAGGAGAGACATTACTGGATATAGATCGTTTAGTTTATATCTTCCCATAAATTTCCTACTTTATTTTAACTAGCTCAAATTCCCTATGTAATAGACAGCAACTTCTATTACGTGTTATAAATGCAGTACAACTGGTGTAATAATGGAATCCAGATGAGGACTAATACATAATTTTCAAAAAAATGATTTATCGTCTGAGTATAATAAAATATTTTATGTTTTTTTTTTTTTTTTACCATATATCCTCAGTATACATATAATTATATTCTTTTTTGGGAAGAAAAATTTGTCCTTCCATTGTGAATTCAATTATTATTTATACTGAATATTAACATTACCCTAACATTAAGCACTATAACATGATCCCTGTCACTAGTTCAAATCCTAAAGCCCTGTGTAGACTATCAAATTGTATTTGAAAAAAAATCATGCTACATTCTTAAATATGGTCATGATGACATCACATCATGACCATATATAGCAATATCATGACTATATATGGGCATATAACACTTATTTTGTCAAATAAAATTTGATGATCTGGACAGAGCTTCAGAACAACCAACATGCACACATCTATTTGTTTCTGTAATTTATGTAATTAAATGAATTAATAAAATATAAATTGAAGTAATTAAATTAAATTAATTAATAAAACAAATTATATTGTTATATATTTGCTGATAGTACAAGGATATGAGTGATTGAGTAACTGTACACATACCAAAGGCTTGATATTAGTAAGGATGCGTTTTATTCCAACTTTCTTCCTTCCATTGTGCTTATCTGACTCCTCAACATAGAATTCATGAGCAATATGGCCATCTTCATCATAGCACATTGAACTAAAAGAAAGAATATAAAAATATAATTAAAATGTAATAATAAAATTATAATATACTGTATATTACATTTTATTATACTTAACTTCTTAAAAGGTGCATGAAAACAAAAATGCAGCGGAATACATCATTATAAACAGAAACGATTTATTATTTAATGTACTGTGTATTACAAAATAATTTGATAAAAGAATGTGCCCTAATAATAGAAAAATCAAAGGGAATATACAAAGTTTATCCTCTTATTTCAGTTGATAGAGCATCCAAACAGAATTTTAATTCTGATGGGGTGGGGTGGGAGACATCCCTTTAAAAAAAAATGTTATTATAGACATGTTCACGTAATCATTTGAGAATGCCCACATTCATGCATCCTATGTCAGTTATATAATGTATTAGAATTTACAGAACAAAATGAGTCTCATTGTTATAAAATAAAAAATGAGTTTATATAATATTTGAATAGATGCTTTAATTTGGTCAGTCTCTCAATGGCTTCCCTAGAATAAGTAGATCCAGAATGTGAGCAATTAAAGTTTAGGTGTATGAGAACAAGGTTTTGAGAATATCGGCCTCAAAGATAAACTAACGTACAAATAACAGGACTAGAATTAGTAACAGAATATGCACAGAACACTGTTTTAGTACGAATATTCACTTAAAAAGTATAAAATCATTAAATATATGTATCAATTTATTCAAAAACATTAAAATCAAAATTTTGTAAAAATTCTGACTTTGATCTATTTTGGTGAATATCTCAATAGGATTTCACCAATGATGCGTCTCATTTCGTGGCGAGATCTCTCATTTAAGATAAATTTTTATTACTGGTACACTTCACTTCCTGACTACTGCAGTACTTGAAAAGAAATGGAGAGGAAACATAACATCATCATAATGGAAAAATAACTACTGTATGTACGTCAGTTTGAATGTGAAGATAATGAATAATGTGTAATGAGATGCAGTAATCGCTCGTATACTGGATGATAAGTGTTGATGAAATTTACCAATTCCACTGTACTTTATAATGAATGAGAAATTCACCTTCAACGGAATAACATGGTCTTCATTAATTCAAAAATCTACTGTATAGTACAAGCTACTGTTAAATATATTAAATCGCATGAAAGTAATATTTGTTGCATCGGAGAAACCCTCCATTAGTGACAAAATAAAGATAATACTGTATTTTTTTAGGGCAGCACATCTTATGGATGACAGTTAAGTTGATTCAGCTTTTGATGAATTTTAATGTTTTTATCTGTGGTTGTCGGCCGAAATGAATAAAATTTTAAATAGAAAAGTGTATTGCTCCCAACACGATTTCAGCTTTCTAATACTGCACCGTTCAAATGCTCCTCCAAATGAGCTCCAGAAGACATGATATACGGGATAATTCTATGAAATATTTTTACCCCAAGGATTTGTGAATACGGAATGATTAGTAATAAATCAAATGATAGTAACTTTGGTATGGAGGAACATGAAATCCCGAGTGGACTATGTTTTTCTCTTCATTTATTTACTACAGTAGCTTACAGTAGGTGTTTCTACACACCAATGATTATAATTATCAAGATACTATTGTATCTAATGCCCTGTTCAGACAATCAAATTTTCTTTGACAAAACACTGTTGCATGCCCATGTATATAATCATGGGGTGCCCATATATGGTCATGATGTGATGTCATCATGACCATATTTAGGCATGTCACATGTTTTTGTCAAATAAAATTTGATAGTCTGGACAGGGCTTGCGTTGAATTGTATGACATGCCTGCTGGCATTAGAAAATCTCGATTAAGAATTTTCTACAGTATATCTTCCTCACAAATAAATATAAGGTTTCAGAAGACTTCTAGGTGTAATGGCCTTTACCAATCCGATTACTGAACTCTTTACATTGCATCATCGCCTTATTTATGACCATGAAATAGGATCTAGAGCGAGGGCCTACGGGTAACCTCTATTACTTTTTTCCTTGTACACTCTTTTTATTCATCAAATTTTTTCCTCCTCTACTTCAATGCTTTTAGCATAAACGTTTCACTACATGAGAACTTAAAGATTGAATTTGAATATTTTTCCACCCTCCTCTGACTTGCTTCTTTGCATAAAATCAATTCAAGATTTTTTGCAGAAAAATACCTTATAATTCACTATATCATTATTATTTGGTCAAAAATTGTTTCAATCTGTGTTTCAGTGTCAGTTCACAACTATTATTTGATGAAGTACTGTATACCATAAAACCTTGAATAGAAGCACAATAGGCTTAATCTCGAGAAGAAGCCCATCTCAAATTGAAGCCCCCACTTCAGTTTGCAAAGGTAGCTTAAAAAAGAAGCCCACAGCTTCTTTTCAAGATAGTATGGGCTTCTTTTTGAGGTTTTATGGTAGTAGCTTCTATTTACCTAAAACATATTTAGTTCATTATAACTAAATTAAACAAATTTACACGCAAGCTCTTATTGAAATATGCACATCTGGTCATGTGACTCAATTGGTCATGTGACTCAACTGCATTAATACGCATTTGTTCCATCCCAGTGAAAGCATTGTAGAGAACAACCGATAGATGTTGTCATCAATTAACACAATCCATCATGCAAGCAGGATACCTATCTGCAGGCAAGCAGTACCCAGCATTGATTATTATATATTTTGTATCTGTATTTATTAAAAAGTGCCTTCCAGTGGTTTGCCTGGGATAATTTTAATTTTAAAAATCTGTTCTCTAACGCATAAATTTCAGAGAGGTGAATAAAATAAATGCACAAAATGCTAGAGCTTTAATTGATTACCATAAAAAAAAGAAGAATCAACCTCTTTCTGCAAATGTAACTCTTCTAAACACAAAATACACATTAGCATATGTTAAACTAATAAAACTGAATGTGATAAGTAAAAGAGAACCAACACGTATAGAACAAAGTTATTAAATGTTTAATTAGAGGTAATTTTATTTAACAGTAAAATTTTGATTCTACAAAATTAATTTTCAGTACAATAATGACTCTGCAAAATTTTTTTACTGGGTCTCGTATTGAAATAAGAGATGCATCTGCAGATGGAAACTGATCAAACTATATTTGAAATGAAGAAAAAAAAATACAACATTTTCAGAACAAGGTCAATATATAACTGTTATCATTTATTGTAAAATATTGATTGCAGAACATTCATTTTCAGTAAAATAAGTGACTCTATGTTACTAGCTCTTGTTTTTTAAGCACTACACTAACCTACGGTGAGCTAAGCACCGTTGTATTCGGTACTTGAGAAGTACTGTCTGGATCTACAGTAACCTTATCTGGATCTCAACCGGCCTTTCACATTTGCGAAATATAATAACTGAGTTGCTTATTTGATTATAAAAATCAATGAAGAACAGTCTGCTGTATGCTTATTGTAGAATTGTGTTTAGTTAAGGTTCACTAACTTCAGCTGAGTAAAGGTTAGATATTATAGGCTAGCATAAATGTATTGGATAAACAAGCCGTAAAACATGGTGTGTGTGTGTCTACCGCATCTGGCCGTAACTGAAACAATACTGCTGTTGTTTTATTAAGTATATACACCAGTTAGGTGTTAATACATTGGCCTGTAAATATTTTCTTCATTCAATTGGAAGGAATGATTTTTTAATCAAGGACCATAATACTGTAGAATCAATATACAGTTACACAAGGTATGTAAAGCTATGTTTGCATTGCATTTTTTATGTAAAAATGCTTTAACTTTTTATATCAATGTAAATGTATATTAATAATTTCAATGATGATCATCATACGCACTGTTCAGTGCAATATGTTTTCTGGTGTTTAAACATACTGTAGAATATTACTTTTCTTTTCTTTTGCTATAAGAAAGAGCATACAAATCGGTATCACATTAATGTTTGCATTACTATGAACACATTAAAAGTATAAAACAAACAATCATAAATTTTATTGCCTACCACTGGATACTATAAATTTTTTTCCATAAATGTAGAGAGGAAGGTATAGTTCATTTCTGCAGCATTAGGCAAAAAATAATAAAATAAATAATCTATTGCAGTTCAGATACTTGGCCAGGAAATCAGAAAATTTGCATTGAATGGTCAGGAAAGCAGACAAAATACTTTTTAAGATTAATATCTTGTGGTCCTAATGAAACTTGAAGTCTTGTAACGGACCACAGTCTATGATTGCAGTGATAAAGTGAGTCAATTTTTCAGTTTCAATACCGTAGACTATGTTATAAAAAAAATTATATGAAAAATATGTCCACTCAAATGAAGGTCAACTTTAACTACAGGACATTTGCTGTGGACTACCTAATTCCTGTTCCAATTTATTTAAAAAATCAATCTCTAATCAACATTGACAAGCCTAAGTAAGTTTTGAAGGATACAGACATACTCCAATACAAATTAAATTCAAAGTTAAAATATATATATGAGCAAAGAAAACTGTATCTTCCCCAGACAGACCTCTGTCACTGTACCATGTTGCCTGGGGGGGAAGAAAGATCTGCATTCACAGGAAGCTGTTATTTTTCACAAGTGCTGGCAAGATTTGAAGCCCAGTGACTTTCAGAGTCTTTCACTTGTTAATTTTCACAAAGATGACTGAAGTGCTCTAGGCTAGTCAATTTCCAAATTCAGTGAATATAAATAAGCAAGCGTCTAGGTTTACAGTACATAGAGCGAGAAAAAAAATCACTGCTTTCAGTAAATGATTACTGAACCTTCCAAAAGGTTAGGTATATATATATTTCATATTATTATCACTAATAATCCTAATAGTGAAAACTTGGATTGTACCAGTAAATGCATAAACTAAGAAGTGGTACATTAGTATTCTATCAGATTCAAAATATATCTTGTGCTTTTTTTAAAACTCTTATGTTTGCAATGTCACTATCAATGTAAAGGTCTCCTTCTAATTGAAAACCCCTCCAAGTAAAGACCACCTCAAATTAAAGACAACTTTTCTGTGGTCCAAAATT